CACACACACACACACACACACACACACACACACACACACATTTTTCGATGACTATGCAATCTAGTGTAAGCCCATTTAATAAACATTTTTTAAAATTAAGTACTTGTAAACTTATTACTGGGGCTGTGTTTGCATAGGCTTCGTTTGTAGTCTGTTAAGGTCACGTGATCATTTATGATAAGTGCGAGTGAGACGGTGACATCATGCTGTCTTCCTCGTACTTATGATAAATGATCACGTAACCTTAACAGACTTAATAACAAACAGAGCCTTAGGCGAACACAGCCTGTGTCACGAGCTGCCAGCCAATAGAAAATATGTGCATAGTCCCTCTGCTGGCCACCATGGATTAGCACTCAAATCAGCGCCACAACATTAGCACACTCTTTAGCATAGCCACTGGCAATCTCCCTACTCATCTCTGCTTGTGCATTGGTTTTATCAAAGTAATTATAATTATTGAAAAATGAACCGTCGAAAACTGTTGATTTTTTAGAGGCCCTTATGGAACCCTACCCGAAATACGATACCAACCGCCAAAGCCACCCTAAATCCCGAGTGTACAGATTTAATATGGCATACTTATGTGAAAGTAAGTGGGACAAGGCCAACCACAAGGACGAAGACAAAAAAAAGTAAAAACGATGGTTGACATCCCAAAATACGTGTATATCTGTAATTATTGCAAATAGTATATGAATGTACTGAAATAGCTCGATGATAAACAAGTTTAAGTACAAGAAAGTTTATGCAATTCCAAGCAGATAAGAAAAATTCATCGTGACCTTGAATTTTCGTATAAGGCAAAACTTATTATACTAATACGTATACAAAAACTAAAAAGAGCTTTAATCGCAAAGAAATTATAGCACCATAGCTAGAAAAACTCATGAGGCTGAGCTTTCGAATCCTGCCGAAATTACCGTAATTTTTTTCAGGCTTTTTTGATATGATAAATACCCAGAATATACAAGCTTAAACAGAGCTAACAAACGTGAAAAGAATCTTTAAAAATATTATTCTCTTAATATTAGGCTGGAAACACTATACCAACGTCGTTTTCGTTGTTAAATGTTTTTTCTAGTTTCTTAAAAATGCCCTGGGCGTGAGCTTGAAACTTGAGACTTGACAGAATGCCAAAAAACTACTTATGCAAATTTTAAGAACGAATATTAGATCATTCAGTTGATGTCTAGACCTCTGAGGGTCATCTTTTTGAGGAAAAGCTTAACACACACACACACGGCCAGCTTGCTAGGTGAAGGCACTAACGGTGTTTTACAATAGTAAGTACAGCGAGTCAGATAGTTTATTGGAAAGAATTCTTCCATCAAACTTTATTATTTCTGAAGTACTAAATAACTGTAAATAACTGCGCCCTGTAAACAGTACCCAATAGGATGGATGACCGAGTAGTCCGAGGGAAACTTAACAAGAGGTTTTCATGAAAAACTCGCAATTTTTATGGAAAGGCGGGTGATTGGGTAAAAATGGACAAGAAAAGTAGTGATTTATGGACAGCCGCTCTCACATTGACATTTAGCGCTCTCATCCGTGGCAAAAGTTGAAGACTTAGGGGGAAGACGATGGCATCAATCCAAGTAGTTCATAGATATCTTTGAATACATTTAAAGCTAAATATTTTATAGTAAGACATAAAGAAGCATAAGAGTTTCTTGAAATATTCGATTGTAAGTAAGACCCCTAATATCCTATGTAAATCAAGCCATGTGTCTTCACCTTAAAACTCATACACACACGCGTACACATAAGCGACGTACGAGCTTCTCTTAGCATATGAGCTTGCTTTATATTCACAATACTTCTTATCTGAATTTTGACGAACGCATAGTTTTTAGTTATAATATTATTCGTATCGACTCGGGATGTAATGGGGTCACATGATTTCTGCTATGTATATACATATAGCCAATCGGGATAAGACAATACTAGACAATAAGACGGGCCTTACGGGGGAAATAAGTAATTATTTTTTTACATTTTTAACAATTGTAATTCAGTACAAAGTATTGAATAATATGATTTTAAAAAGACAATGATACCTTAGCTATTTTTACGGACACTCAATTAATTATTTGAAGCTAATACTGTCTTTTGTAAGCGCAAACGCACATTTAACCTTACTAAAATCCTGTTTGTTTACCTATACACAGTCAAAAATAGAAGAGGTTTGTACATGTTAAATGTGCATTTCATGCGTTTAATGAAAAGTATTAAGCTTCTAAAAATCGATTGAGTTAGGAAAAATATAGCTAAGGCATCGTTATATTTTTAAAAGTGTATAATTTAAAGCTGTTATCTTCTTATATTCACACATAGGGCTGTTGACAATATTGTGAGCTGACTTGTGATTTTTGCTATCAAGCGCATCATTGAACTCTGCTAGAGAGAAAGGATAGTCAAAGAAAACGTTTCGATCCGCACGAGGAAGAGATTCAGGATTGGTTTGGACCCACGGAGGGTATATTTTTTTAAGTGCTGTTTTCAGCTCTGCTTCATTATACTGCATGTTTTTAGTAAAGTGATAAGGTTTGGCTTTAATCCAGCGGTTTTTGAATGTTTTGAGTCTATTTCATACATATGTTGGATTTGTCCGAAAATTAAGATTAGCTGTAAACTGTTGATAGCTGTTTTTTTTTAAGTTATAAAAAGGTTCTAAGCTAAGGCACTTTGCTTTTTGTATTCTAGTAAGTTGTTTAATTTTAAAGTGTACAGGTATTTCTTAAAGGCTGCGGTTCTGAGCCTGGCAGCCTTATCGAATTCTGCATCCCACCACACCACAGGATTTCTATGTTTGCGTTTTGAGATCTGTTTTTTGTTTGGGGTAGCAAGTTTAACAGATTCAGTGATAGTATAAGTTAAAATAGTGTATCTCTCCACTGGAGTAGAGAGATCATAATCATTCAAAAAAAACTGAGGGTAAGCTTCTTGTAAAGCTTGTTAGAACTCTATTTTAGTTGGTGACCGTAGTGCTACATTTAAAGGTTTTCCTACAGTAATAATACTTTTGAGCGTTAATACTTATGCACAAGGGGAAGTGATCAGACTCGTACGTATTATCACACATCTCATAACTAACCTAGTCAGAAAAATTTTGTGTTGAAGAGATGAGATCAAGGTTTGATCTGTAATTAGTGCTGAGTTTTATATATGTACGAGTATCAAAGTTATGTAAATGCAAATTGCGATGACAATAAGCAACCTTCAAACGTAAAAAATTGTCATCATTGTAATTACAATTCCAATCAATATTTTTACCATTAAAATCACCTAAATACAGAGAGTAGCTGTAAATGTCTACAAAGCCAACGATCTCGTGCCATTCTGACCGGGTCAGCACATACTCAGGTGCTCTATAACAAGCATATAAGTTAATGTTAGGTTCGATGTTATTAATTTTAATTCCACACATCTCTACCGACTACAATGGCGAAATCACAGGTAGTTCGGTGAATGCTAAGTCATCACGTATAAAAATAAGTATACCGCCTCCATCAGCATGGATTCTATCATGTCTGTAAGTGCAAAAGCCTTGAATTTCGCATGTCTCGTCAGGAGTTAGCCATGACTCAACAATGACTATAATATCAAAATTAGTAGAATTCTTTTTGACAGCTGTAACTTTGTTGCGGTAACTCCTGGCGTTCCACAACATAATTCTAAGCGAGGTGTTAATATAATGAGTTGTTGTCATTAAATGAATTGTTAATGCCTGCTATTATGGCGCTATAAAAAATAATTNTTTTTTAAATAAAAAATTTATATAAATACGTCGAGTTTTTCTTGTGTCTCCTGTGTAAAGAAATCCTGCGAATATCTTGTTTGGTGTCAAGGATTGACTGGGTTTGTGCGATGAAATCCAAACTGCTCAGTGGTTCCTTTTCTGCTGGGTGAGTAATTCTTTTCGATGGATGTTTGGTCCCTTAATTGTGTTGATTGATGGTGTGCATTCGTGTTGATACCGCCTTTTTCCATAGTTTTGTTGTAAGCTGCAAGGTTAGTGAACCGTGGTTTATAGCCATGCAGGTCTGTTCTGCCTAGAAAATCTGGACAGTATTCTTCTTGGTCTTTATACCAGTTAGTTCTAGGTGCAGAGGTTTTAGCCCCGGCAGTTTTTGGCACGTTTGTAGTAGAGTTAGATTGTCTTCGCTGTAGAGAAATGACTTGTGGCTTATTAGTCTTGTTATGTTTTACAGCATGAGTATACAAGTTGTTGGAGTCAGATTCTGCATCCTTTGAAAGTATCTGTGGTGGTCGTAGACGATTATGGTCATTTATGATCTGTTGCTCTGTGAGCGAAGGAAAGCACTTTTTGCACTTAGGGCTAGCCCCACAGTCCGACAAGTTGTGGCCCGGTTTATAACAGGAGAAGCATATTCTTGGAGTCGCAATGTAAGCACTAATTTCATGAGAAATGCCATACAAATAAGCATATGGAAGTAAGTCTTGCTCAACAAATGAAACAATAATAGAAGTGGTTGGCAATCTTCTGGGCATGACCTCGCCCTTCTTTTACTGTGGATTCCTTTTTGTTATCCTTTTAGCATCGTAGATTTCTATACAGCACTTAAGGTCATTCAGAATAACTTCCTCTTCTACATCAGTAACCACACCTCGGATTACACCTCTTCGTATCAATCTGTGGTAAAGTATGAATATATTACAGCCTTTGTCTTTTATTCCTGAGTCACTTATAAGATTATTGGCTTCTTAAAAATTGTTTAAGAAGACTTAAATTTTTCTAGTTTACTTAGGTACTATATAGTCTACTTTATACTTGTTGTACACAATTTTACTTACTGCATATCTATGCATCTTGGGCGTAGGGCCTTCCTTAGATCTCTTACTGCAGATTAGTACACTGTATGGCCCTTTGTTCTTAAAAGTATAACATTGTTGTATCGAATTGGTTTTACTTTTACCGTTATTTTTGTTGATTGGAGTAGCGTCAGTTGCTGCTTTTTTTATCGCCAGCCTTCATGGAGGCAAGTAAGATCAGTTGTTTAGTAGCTTGTTTCTCATCTGCATTGGACAGCGTAGTTCTTTGGTGTTTGAGGATAACATTGTCGTTTAAGCCATTCACGTTGGTTCGTTATGTACCCGTCTTTTCGTTGCTTCCAACCTTTTGGTCAGAGGTATCCATTGCTTGCATCATGTCTATCACTGTGGGGTGGTAACACCTCCCGGATTCCCCGGGTGGCTTACCTAGTCTTTTAACTTCCTTTATGATATATTCAACGTACTAGCGTGGCTAGAAAGTAAGGTTAGTAAGCCACATTTCCTTATCTCGCGCCATAGCGAGATCCCAAAACTGGTTCTGCACCTTGAAAGAATAGTACGACGTCCAGCCGCTGCAAAAATGCTCAATTTCGTGCAATCAAATGCCTTACTTTACGCTGTTATCACAGGCAATTACATCACCAACGATACACCTCGTATACTCTCTATAGATATGTATATTGCGAGAGTCACGTGACTACTTGGGATCTAAATATTGGGTATACGTGGAATATAAATACAATATTACTAATTCACAGACAAAAAGGTTACTGCAAAAAAAAATGTAAATATTGCAGTGTATTGTGAAAATGTTCTCTTTATTATTCGTAAATATACAAGTACGATATTAACAAAGAATATTGTACGTTGAACAACAAATCCGAAATTTAAGGTACGAAAAGAAAATAGATATGATTGCGATAGATTTTTGACCAAGTTCAAGTTTTTTTTTGATGAAACAAACATTTTTTTTTTTTAATGAGACGAAAGAAAAGAGATGCATTTAAGTGTTTTCAATTTCTTAAAAACACTACATCAGAAAATTAATATAGTTTTACTCCAAGTCAAGTTACGTTGGCTTAATATTTAATTGACAAAATAGAGGCATAAGTTACTTAAGAAAAAACAATCAAAACAGTTCATTTACAAGAATAATATAATGCATTTTAATTAATTTTTAATCTTAAAATTTGTTTGTTCTTGCTCGCAAATGTTAAATATTAATAAATCACGTTTTTGCAACAGATTCGACTGTTATTTGAAGACCTACATCAAAGGAATGTTGTGATTGAAGCGTTGACAACGTCGTTAGGAAAAGCATTAGATTCTAAAGATATGTTACACATGGAAGTCCGGTTTCTAGTTTCCTGCATTAACAGTTATACTAAAAAGGTAAAATTAATTTCTCTTTAATTGAAAGAATTTTTTTAGTTATAAATCTTTACTGTTTTTAAATTTGTAAGTTAGAAAATACAATGAATTATTCAACAGACTTGATTGTTGAGCTTACATAAACAAGACAGAACGTTAACAAATTGGAACCTATAAAAACACAATACACAATACTAAGTTACTTTGAAAATTAAATTAAATATCTCAAAGGATAAATAAAAAATAAGCATTTTTTCTGTAAAATGTAATGATTTTAGTTACTTATCATGTGCAGTTACGTGAGAATGGAAATTAAAAAAAAGAAAGTAGTTTGAAGTAACAAAATTTTAGCAAGGCCCTAACTAAATATTGCTAATGTATGGTAGATAATAAATAACTTATGGCATCACTACCGTTAACCAAACTGATATCGGCTTTTCCGCTGATAAACAAGTCTTCAGTTGGACCTTTGAATTTAATGTGGTTGGATTTTATTTTTAATTGCCAACTAAATATTTACTAGCTATGGCTAAAATTTTCTTGCAGTTTGTCACTTTTTTGGGCCTAGACTACATACAAAATTTAAAATTAAAATTTTTTCTACTCGTTAATGATTCATAAAAAAAAAATTTTTAATTATCACCTACCAAATGACGTATTTGTCATACGATTATCATTTTTGGGATGGTGTAGTTCTATTCTGAACCTAGTTTTAAGTTGCTGAGAGTAACAAGATGAATTAAACATAATTTTATTAGAAAAAATGTATGTATGAAAACAAAAAAAATGTACACTAACTTTCTACTTAATAAGAAGTTTGATTTGTTAGCACTGGTTTTAGCTACAATTTTGTTCAATATTACTTTCGTATTCATTGTTTGTCTTTAAAACTGGGTAAATATTGATCTTCAAAGGATTTCTTATCTGTTTCTCTATAGCTATTTTTTATTTTTTCTTTGAGATATTCAACATAAGCTTCGAGTCTTAAGTGTTCACTGGAAGATTTGGCGAACTTGAGCTCTCGGATAAACTCCATTTAATTTATCTTACGAGTCAAGAAAATCTCATCCACTCCTCTACGATTTTCTTAAGCTGCTTCGTACAAAATATATTATGTCGATGGCATTAACACTCTTGGCTAACAAAATATATATTTATAAAAACAGGTGGCCAATTTAAAAGCCAAATTACGTGAGGCCGAGTCAAAATCTGCAGAAACAGAAAAAAAGTTAGAAATGTCTTCTGAAAAAATTGATGGACTGCGCCTAGTAATCCAGGATATGATGAAACAAGCTCAAACCCAAACTGAGAGAGAAGAGACCCTCAATCGTCATGTTCAGGAGCTGGAGGTGTTTGTCATCGCGCGGACGGAAGAGAAAGAAGAGCTTCTCGAAACCAGTGAAGAAAACAACCAAGAAATAAGTAGTTTTCAAGCTCAGCTTGATAATATAATTCAGAGAATAAAAGCTCTAGACTTATGCGGCTCAAGCACCAGCTATGAAAACGATATGATTTCTCCATTTAAACAGATAAGCGCGACGCACGCTGCTGATTATTTAAGCCATCCCCAGAAAGAACCAGTTGGTCAAATCCTTAGGCTTGAGGAAAGGTTGTTAAAGTACTTTCAAGTTGAAGATAAGGTACAAAAGAAGGTTAAAGATTTAGAGGAGAAAAACGAAGAACTACTACTCGAGCAAGAATACCTTCTAGAGACAATATCAGAGCAGCACTTGCGAATCGAAAGATTGCGGACAAAACTTGAGAAGGAGAGTTCTAACGAGCCAGCTGCCCATACAAAAACTATTTTGAGACTGCGCTCTAAAATATCTAAACTTATTAATAAAACAGTATTTGATAAGCAGGTTCTTCATTATAAGGATGTCAAGGTATGATACAATAAAAATTTACTGTTTTTGAGGAAATCTTAGAATTTATTGTTTAAGTCATAAAAATAAATAACAAACAAAAATTATCATAACAAATGTACATTTTTTTACTTATTTTTTTTCAGCTGAACGAAATGAAAGCTCGGCTAAAGCGTGAAAGTTTTTATCTTGCTGGTAAAAAAACTAAGCTATTGAAAGATTACCAGTCGAAAATTGAGGCGATAAGAAAACTAAGGGATGAAATCTCAATTTTGACTTCATCGCTTAGTGAAAAAGATAAAGAAATTCTTTGCCAGAAAAAGTATCTTAAGAAGAAAGATAAAATCATACAAACAATGAAGTATAATTGTAAAAGTTTACATAGTTCGTTAGTAATGATTCACGCAAAAATCAAGGAATCGGAAAATGTTCTAGACCTCCGAAAGAAATTAAAGGACGCTCGTAGAAACAACGCCAAGCTATTAAAGATAATTACGATGTTGAAGACTGATTTAGAGATAAACACTTTGAGGCCAAGTAACATATGGGATGAATAGACTTTATCAAGATAATTCAGCAGCAGCTTGAAACTACTACTTTTTACGATGGGCATTAGGTTTTTGCACATTGCAGGCGCACTTTGTTTGCAACTTTAGGACTCACTTTATTCTTATAATAAAAAACAAGAAGAGAAAAAGTTCAGCAGACTTGTAAGGTCAGCACTCAAAAAAATTAAACATTAACACAGCGTTACTGTCTAAGGCCAAAAATATATATGTTTTGTGAGGGTCATGATTATATAGAGATATCTTAAATGCTAATCGAATTATCATTACTTTCTTGTTCTTGCACGTGATGTAATATATTTATGAATTTACCTATAAGAGGGATGGGAAGCAATAAGGACCCGTAGGTACTAAGTTGAATTCGTATTACCCCCTACATGTATTACGAGATGACTCAGAGGGGGTGTGCAGGGACTTAATCAGATTCGTAATGCTTCTGATCCGTGGTACAAACGCCCCGTAGTCTTGCGATACTTCTTAACAAGAATTTATTGAATAAAATGAGAATTGGGAAATGTAAATACTGATTGTAGAGACGGTCAAGCCTGTCACTGGATATAACACAAGCAGACAACCACACACTCTATGTTAACGCACCTGTCCAGCATGTCAAAACAGTTCCACCTAGTCTTAACTTCCTGTATGAGGTTCAGACACGTACTGTCCGATTTTCAATGCTCGTATTTCTGAAGCTGACCAAGTTTTTGAGAGGCAATTTCACTTTTCTTAATAAACGTAACTGTTCTCTTAACTTTGTTGAGGATTGTTCTGAAGTTGGTGCTGCCTGCCTTCATCTCCACCTCGTCATCAATATCGTTCTCGTCGTCAGGTACCTCGGGCTCTGGAGATGTCCACTCTGAGGGAAGGGTGCTCATGTTCCCGATTGCTTTCTGCCCGATTAGATTGAAGTGATGGCTGAGGCACGATAAATGTTTTCTCGCTCCAAATTCTTGCTTAGCTGCTGCTCTAATGTTTGCTCCGCCATTTGTTACCACGGCGCGCACTTTGTTATAATCAATTTTTCAGTCATCGCGACATATCTCTCTCATTGCTACTGCTAGGTTAGCGGTGGCTTTCTTTTGATTTATTTGTCTTGCACCTATTTCAAAAGTGGTGATCTCAGAAACTAAAAACATAAATAAAATGTATTGGTACTTTCCCGAGCTTTGCGTGCACCTGCGCCAAGAAAAACAACCGCGTAGTGTTCTTCGAAGCTGCCTTGGTACGTGGTGCGCGGAGTGGCACCACGAAAATATATTTAGACGTTAGTTCTATTACCTGAAGTAATGTGCACGGTTACACCTAAGAAGCTGCGCATAGTTTGGCGCTGTGTCCAAATGTCCATCGTAAGGCAGATGTGATCGGCTTTCTCAATCATCACACTGACCCATCCTTTTAACAGCCCATACTTTTCAATGAGCATTTTCCTTACTGTTGGTTCGGACGGCAGTTTGTATAGAGGCTGCAGCGTCTGAGCAAATTTGCGAAACCCCGGTCGCTCTGTTGTGCTAAGAGGCATGTTATCCTTTGCTATTATGTACAACAAAGAGTTGGTACACTGGGCATGTCTTTGGCCTCCGGCTAACAAAGGAAACGCATTGCAAATTTTGGTACATTTAGTACAAGTACTTTTACTCCAAAACGTGTGATACTCACCGGAGAATGCGTTTAGGTTATTAATGTACTTCTTAATTGAACCAAAGCTGCCCAAAGGAGGTGTAGGTTCGGGTATTTGATCTCGGTCCTGTAATTAGTTAGTTGGGGTTATTAACAAGCAACTTGCGGGAAGAAAATATTTATGTACTTACTGTGTTTTTACGAAAGAAAAAGGTTCCCCGCCCTTCCGCTCCCCTCTCCCGCCTCACGCTTTTAGTAAGTAACTCCAAAATCCATAAAGATATAAGAATAAAGTGCACTATCTCCAACTAGCCCTGTACTCTGCAGTGATGCCAGAAGCGAGAGAGAAAGCTGCCGAGAGGCCCCTCTTGCTGTCTCTCTCTAATCAGACGAGCATATATACGCAGTACAGATAGCAAGAGGGGCCTCTCAAAAACTTTTTCTCTCGCTCCTGGCATCACGGTTTTGGCTTCATGCTTGCTCTATTCTTATATCTTTATGCCAAAATCATCTCAAGTGAATGCGCAGACACTAACCTGTACAGGAAACCTCAAATCTCCGTAGTCCTCTTCAATATCGCTGCCGACACGAGCAACCGATGCTTTCCTTTTTTTCCCTTTAGAGGGTAGCGACGGCAGGTTAATTTTGTGAAGTTCTACTAGATGAGCTCTTAAATTTAAGGTTGTACCCTTGTAGACCAATAAAGAGTTACACTGGCGGCACTTTGCTTAAGTAACATTCTCGACTTTGCTGAAGTACGTCCAGACGGAACTAGGTGCCATTAATATTTAGCTTTATACTAATAATATTACTACTAATAATAAACAACACGTAAATGGACAATTTAAATTTTTGACATGACCACGCCGGCAATGCAGCAAACACAACACACAAGCACACAACGGACACAACCACTGAAGAAAACAAAGTGCGCCTTCCAAAATAGTGGCAGAATATCTGCTAGAAGGATTTTTTACGAAATGCGGCAACGTTTCACATGCTAAAAGCAATAAACCTGGCATGACTGACCAGAAGTATAGTAGATATCCATCACGGCTCCATGCGACGTTGCCACTAACCTGCTAGCAGACACTTCTCTTCTCATTTTGGAACGCGAGGAAAAGCGGACTACTTCGAAACTACCAACTGCAAAAAACAAAACGAGATTCAAGATTCGAGATCGACTCGAGAGGCCTCGAAGTGCTTCGGAGCAGCTTATAAATATATTTGGGATGCTTCATATTTCCGAATATTTGAAATTATTATTCGAATACAGCGAATACTCAAAACATGATATTCGAACTCGAATAGTGGGGTATTCGAAATCGATTATTCGAATACATTTAATATTCAAATTCGAACTTTTCATCCCTACTTTCGGCGACGCATCACAAGTAACTTTAAAGGGTCGCCGTGTACTGGATTGTGATAAGACCGCAGGAGGAATGACCGCACTTTTAGCGTCTTGGAATGCTTTTTCTCGCTCCGTTGTTTACTCCTATTCGACATCACTTTGCAACAACTCGTAGAACGGAGCTACAATATTCGCGAAGTTTCTGATGAATTTTGAGTAGAAGCTAATCATGTCCAAAAAAGATTTTAACTTGGATTGGGATCAGGCTTTTTCATGTCAGCTATCGCCTCAGTTTTTGAGGGGCTCGTTTTGATTTCGTCAGCTGACAACTTGAAATTCAAGAAACGAACGGACTCTCGTGCAAATTTACATTTATCTTGACGTAATGTCAAATTTCTTTTCCGCAATTGTTTTAAAATCTCACGCAATCTCGCGTCATGATCTTCTTTCGTAGTTCCCGCAACAAAAATTTCATTGAAATACGACACGACCCCTTTAACATCACGCAATAGGTTTTAAATTACTCGTCGAAAAAGTCCAGGGGGCGACACCACACCATATATCAACCTATTACATACGAGGAGTCCCTTGTGCATCGACAGTGTGAGCAAAACTTTCGATTGTGCATCCATTTTTACTTACTGGTAGGGTTGCGGCTTACAAAATTTAGGCATAGCACCTTCCTTTAATATCAACTTGAACTTCTTACCGTTCTAACGACCCAAACCTTTTGAAAACATTTTCATTACCTCGCGATCGATTGCCACGCTCGGTTTTTCGTCTTTAAGTGAGCCAATTATCACTGATTGACTTTCGACATCAAATTTTAAGTTTAACCACGTACGATCCACAATTGGTGCGTTGCTCCCATCAATCACAAACAATTCTAACTCGACAGTTTTTTTTTTAATTTTACCTCTACATCGACGATACCGTGCTGAACAATCAAATCGTTTTGGTATGACCTAAACTTCTGGTTGGTTTTTCGCAGAACCAACTTTGTCGCTTGCATGCATTTTTTAAATTTTCCCGTCGATATAGCAGAGACTGGGAACCCCAATTTCAANACAGTGTGAGCAAAACTTTCGATTGTGCATCCATTTTTACTTACTGGTAGGGTTGCGGCTTACAAAATTTAGGCATAGCACCTTCCTTTAATATCAACTTGAACTTCTTACCGTTCTAACGACCCAAACCTTTTGAAAACATTTTCATTACCTCGCGATCGATTGCCACGCTCGGTTTTTCGTCTTTAAGTGAGCCAATTATCACTGATTGACTTTCGACATCAAATTTTAAGTTTAACCACGTACGATCCACAATTGGTGCGTTGCTCCCATCAATCACAAACAATTCTAACTCGACAGTTTTTTTTTTAATTTTACCTCTACATCGACGATACCGTGCTGAACAATCAAATCGTTTTGGTATGACCTAAACTTCTGGTTGGTTTTTCGCAGAACCAACTTTGTCGCTTGCATGCATTTTTTAAATTTTCCCGTCGATATAGCAGAGACTGGGAACCCCAATTTCAAATTCAAGCGGTTTTCCCTTTACTTACAAAATAATCGACAACGGCCCCACCTCCTTTTGAATTTTGAACTCCCGATGACCGTACGTTATTTATTATGTCACTTTCCTCCGACGATCCACTCTCTTCGACGACAAAGTTATTTTTTTGTTTCCGCTCGCACTTTTTTCAACGCTCGGCTCAGATGACGCTTGTCTGCAAACCGCCTTCAGGTGTCCCTTTTTACGGCACACATTACACTCGGAGCGCACGTACTTACATTCGCTTTTGATATGCCCGGTCTTTCCGCAACAATAACATGTCCTAGCTTCCAGCGTCTTCTCCCCCTCAGGCTTTTTCTTCGAAGTGACGTAGTTGGCTTCTCCTTCCCTGCCACTTTTCATTTTCGTGGCGTCCCTATTGGCAGCTTCCAACGATAGCGATTACTCGATTGCTCGGTGATATGTCAGCTTGGGCTTGCCCAGCAGCCTCCTCTTTGTATGCTCGTCC